CTAGAGCAGAGCCCAGCTGGCGAGCGCAGGAGGCGGGGTTTCCATTGCTTCGCGCCCTTTTAGAATCAATTAAACTGATTGATCTTCCTTTTCTCTTCTCTTTTCCCTGTTTATTTTCCATTTCTTCTTCTGCATGATATTATCACCATGGCCCACAAGATCCCAGACAGCAATTCAATATCTGTATTGGACAATCTCTCTCTCAGTTGGGGTTGAGTGAGGGGCCTAGCCTCCAGTGGCACATCACTGGGTCTTCTCATTTTGCCATATTGTTCCTCACAGATCACCTTAAATAGTGCCTCTCCCTCTCCCTCCCTTCATTAGAGGCCTGGGTTGCCATGAGGGAAGATCCAGGCAACCAAGTCAAGGAGGAGCTCCAAGCCCACCCCTGATTGCATATGACTTAGATGCTTCCTTCAGGACCAGTCAGACAGGAGGAAGGGAGTTCCTCCAGGTTTTTCCAAAAATCCGACTTCCCACAGCTTCTTAAGAAAATGTAGCAAGACTCTGTATGAATTAACCAAACCCCTACTTTTTAAACCCAAGGGCAGGGTAGGGTGTTAGCTGTAGCTAGCAACACCACCTCATGGTTTCTCTTACCTGAATAATTTACAAAGTCACTGGGACAAAGTGGCAGATTCTTCAGTCAGCAAGGGATGACCTTGCCCACCAAATGCTCTTAGGCTGCCTTGGGCTTACTTAGTGCCCTTCTCCCCCCCCCCCAAAAAAAAGAAAATATCCGCAGGGCAAAGCACATGGGGTTAGAGTCCTGACAGCAGAAGTCTCCCTGACTATCTCAATTCTTTGCCAGGACTGCTATCCGGTCAGCCAAACAGCTAACTCATCTCATTCCTTCTGAGCATAGGGACAAGCTTAGACAAGTTATGAACAAACTAGCCAAGCCACTCATTTCAAGGTTGCTAGTCTGGAGAGTATCAAGTTCTCAGCTAGAGATATGGTGGCTATTATGACCACAATGATAGGATATGTCATATGGTTGAAGAACTGGAACATAGACTCTAAATCCAAATCTGTCTTAATATTAGACCCATTCAGATGTAAGTGTCCTAAAGATAAACTCACATGACTGACATCGTATAATTTATGTGCACTAAGATTGTTTCAACTTAGTCTGAGACTAGAAAAAAGAGCTGATATTGATAGTTCTCAGTTGGCTCAGGAGAGCCCAGTACTTGGTGCTGGTACTGGTACTGGTACTGGTTAGGGCTGTCACATCCCAATCATGGTATTGCCAGACTGGCTAAGCCATGGGGTATTCAGCCACCCAGATAGCAAATGGTTACAACTACACTCCTGGAGATTGAATGGGTTTGTCTGTCAAGCCTAGGATGTGATAAAACTATGCAGACTGTCCTAGCATCCCCAAAAGCTTCCATATCTTGCATATATATGTAAACTTATGAGAAAGGCAGATGAACCAAAAGGAAGGAAACCTCATTACATCAATTTCCATCTCTCCAAGCCCTGGCTTTCCAGCAAAAGTTGTCAGCTTTTTCTACAGTGCTAACATTGGGGAGCAGTAAATATTTCTAAGCCCATCCTGACATCAAGAGATTCCTAAAGTGGGGGTGGGCATTGGGCTCTCTACTAAGGCCACTCATTATTCAGGAGTGCCTATCATAGGACCTCCAACTATTACTTGGGGCTGTAACTCCAACCTTGTTTGAAACTTTGCTTGATGCAATCCTAGAACATCAAACATGGAAAGAGATGTTCCTAATAGCCATAACCTCTGCCAGGTGAATGTTGGAAATAAGTATACTTCTACTAAATCCAGGCAAGGTTTTTATTGATACTAAGTCCAAAGCAGCCTAAGAGCATTAGTGATTGATGACTCACACAAGGGTGACCTAATAAACACTAAAATTGCATTGTACTATAGTTACAAAGCAATATTTGTCACTAGAGAGTCCTGTGCTAAGACTCTGGTCATCACTTCTGGGCCAAGGCAACTGTTGCAAGGCAGAGACAGACATTTGCTCCCAAATGCTTATCAGATGTGAACAAGACATGTATAAATACCCATCATCCTATTTCCTTTCAGGATGTGTAGTGCTAATGGAGTAAGGAATAGTAAGCTAAAAACATTAAAAGAATGAGATAAGAAAAGAAGAAGAAATATAGCTTAATCTAGTTTATACCAACACCATTCACTCTATTCCCTCCATACATTTCTATCCTTGCAAAACTTCTTTTCTTGTACTATATCCACACACCATTTCATACATTATTTTTGTTCTTTCTACTCCTAACCTCACCTGTGTTTTTGGGGATATCATTAACTCTACTCAACCACAACTTTCTTGGTTGCCTTCTCAGTCTGTTCACTCTTCATATTTTGTGATTCAGTCTTCATTCATTCTGTCTGGGTGACTGAACAACCTCAGCCCGCTTCTTTCCTACAGATCATGCACTTTTGTATTCAGTAGCTATTCATTCTTGACTGTATCTCATCTTGTTTACCACACTTGCTTGTTAAGTAAGCCATTCCTACTGCACTGAATTTACTTTTACATTTCTCTTGACAAAGCACTCATTCCATCTCAAAAGTGACTCTATAATGACGTTGGCAGAAGCACATTCTTATACACAGCTATTTTTGCTTCTTTCAAAATACTTCTTTTCCACACAACAGCCCACATATTGCCCACTATCCTATCAGATTTGTACATCTTAAAATGTTTTCATCCACCCACTGGCCTTTCTTGAATAAACATTCTAGGAGGTATATAAATTCATCCACTTTCTCTAGTTTCTCATTGTCCATGTATAACTTGCAATTATTCATTCTATTTTCCTTGCCAAATACAACCTTGGTCTTTGGTGACATTAATTCTCAAATCCATGCCCTTCATTTTGAGATGTAAGTATATAGGATTTGTTTTGTTGTTAGCTTTACTAACATATTTCTTGCCTTGTCTTTTTCATCTTTTTCAGCAGCTTTGATGACTTGGGTAGAGTCTGGACTTGTTCTATTACAATTTTTCCTTTTCCCCATTCTGTTGTCTTTTCTTGAATAGTTTGAGTTAAACACTATGATGTTTAGAATGTCATGATTGTTTACTTATCTTCAGGGCGGTAAGATAGTCAAAATTGGTTAGCAAAGTAAAATAGAATAGAATATGAATAAAACAAATAGAATAAAATGAGACATAGAACAAGTGGATTGTCCTGAAGGCTCACTGGTACCATCTTTCCTGCTCCACTCTTTACAGCTTCCTAACAATCTATTATTTGCTTCAAATTATCTAGGTTCACTGCAGAACAGCACTATCTCTATACATGACTAAGTGCACATTCACATCTCCACCAACAGATGTCTTACATTGCCACAAGCATTACTCATACATTTGTCTATAAGTATATTAAACAAGCAAGGCATCATGGTCTTAATCCAGGCTCAGTGTTGATCAATTTGCTAAACATTCTATTTATTCTCATACATGTTTCTTTTCTATCATATACCACTCTTAACCACTTCCAGTAACCAAATCTGTATGTTTATATGTTTCTCAATGACTTGTGAAGGGCAAAAATCTGGTCAGCACATCCTTTTGTCAACAAAAGTTCCACTGCACTTGCCAAATTTTGTTCCTTGTTACTTCATACACTTTAGATCAGAATTCTACCATATGCCTTCCCAGGCAGTTCACTTGACCAACTAATTCCCATGTGGTTTGTGCATCTACTTTGCTATTTTTCTTTTGTATAAGGGAAGAGAAATGGCATTCTTCCAATTATCAGGCACAGATGCAGACTTCATACATAGATTAAATAAACCACACAGCTACTCCATAAGCAAAACACATCCACATTTTAATCTTTCTCTACTTACACCACCATTTTTCAACATTCTCACAGCATTTATTACTTACTTGGCATGATATTTTTCTTGGATATGAATGTTTATAGCATTTCAATTCCTTTCTTCTGGGTATAATATCATTCTAATGCAAATCTCTGTAATACCCTTCCAGCATTCCTCCACTTCAGTTTTATCCTAAATTACTTTTAGGATAAACACTCATTACAATTTTTGAGGCTCCTGGATTAGTCCTTTTTGCCCAGTTGTAAAAAATTCATTTCCAACAAATTTTTAATGCATTTTCATTATTTTTTAATGTTAACCATTCCTTGCTCACTTTGACTATATTCTTTGCAACCATTCTCTCTATATACAGTACATATTTTATTTATTCATTTATTATTTCAATTTCAAGGTCACCAACTCCATAGCAACATTGGGCAGCTTGTAGATAAAAAATTAAAAGAAAACAAAATACATCAAGAAGAAAAAGAAGTCATTTTTCTCTTATCCTAATTTCTGGCAGTAATCATTCTCTTACAGGTCTTTTTTCTCATCCACAACCTTTTTCACTTCATTTTTCCACCAAGCATCTGTTGTATACATCCCGTTAGTATAGCTCCACATACTTCTGTGTCCCTCTGTAATATAATTCTTTTTATTCTGTTCTAAGCAGCTTCTGTATCTTCTTTCTTACATCCACTTCCCATTCATTCTGAGAGATTAAACTATTTTCCTCTAGGAATCCTTCTTGAAGCCCTTCTATGTTCACTGTAGTTTTCTTCATTTCTTCCTTTTCTTTCCTCACCCATTTTTCCTAAGATCCACTCTTTACATACCAAAAGATGTCCAATCCCACATTCAAAAATTCTCATCACCATTCCCATCCCTAATTCTCTTACTCTTTCATCATAATGAATGAGATCAATCATACTTTTAGATTTATATTCATTCCTTTGCCATGAAAAGACTTGAGAAGGTATTTGAAAGTGACCTTTTTCTAAGCAGATATTCACTGGTTCCCTTCACTTTTCTGTACTCTGTCATCTCATTCTTATCCATCCATTTGTGTCACCTAACAGAATACAGTGTATATAGTCTTCTAGATCATATCCATTCAGAACTCTGCATGATTTTTCCAAAACTCATCCAAAGTTCTTCCATTATCACGTATTCACTTGAGTATAGTATGTAACTGCTACCAACTTATAGATTCCTACTTTCATGCCCACTCACAATAATCTATATGACACTATTTCAAACTTTCTCACATTCTTCTTAACTCTTTCATTTATAGTTAAACCAGTATCTTCACTTCCCTGTATGTAGTGATCGACTCCACAAGATCAGATCTTCATTTAGTTCTATTACATCATTCCCCTTAGTTTCACAGCATAATTAGGTATTTTTGCAGCTCACTCAGTACTTTCCAATACTCTTACAGAAAAGACAAAACAAAGGAGAAGTGCTCCCATGAATGCCAGTAACCAGCTGTATCATATGTATCGTGTGTGCGTGCATGTGTGTGTGTGTAATTAATTCCTAAATTTTTCAAGCATTGTTTCCTTGCTCTTTCTCTCGGTCTCTGATTTATTTCTGAAATCTGCTATCTGCTTCCTACCTGCTATTTGCTCCAATGGGAGGGGTGTCTCCCTCCCACTGGGGCATATGGGAGGGAGACACCCCAGTGTGGAGTGACTTTCCAACACGTCTGGTATACTATTCTGAGAAAACATCGGCCACTTTCTCAAACTGGGCATTTTTTATGTACTCTTATCATATCTCACCTTATCTGCCATTTTTTCCTAATCTAAATAGTCCCAGCATCTGGAAATAATATTCCAATTCTCTTTCCGCACTGCTGTTTATTTTGTGATATTTATTCGGTCTTTTCCTTCACCTGCTTGAAGGAATTTATTTTTAATAAAATCTGCCCATCGTGCAAAGATGCACGTAATGTCATATCTAGTTTGGGCCTCAGAGAAACTGGGATTCTTTGCATACCTCAAAATTAGTTTGTGTACATCAGTTTATAAGAAGTAAAACTACTTGCCTGCTTGTTGTCTCTTTCCATTTTAGGGGGAGCCAGGGGATCCTGGAGAGGATGGCATGAAAGGAGCAAAAGGAGAAGCTGGTTTACCTGGCCTGCCAGGAGAACGGGTAGGTCCCAACTACCAGAGGAAGTCTGGTGCCTGGTTCAGCTGTTTGGTCATGCAGTTAAACATTGTGGGAAGGAATATGGGGGTGCATTGGCACTTTTGATCCTTCCTCCTCTCAGAAGCATCACTCCAGGGTTTGGGGTGGGGGTGTGCTTCTGAAACAAATAATCTTCTCTGATATTGAAAGAGTTTCTTGTAATTGAAAATAGTCACAATCAGGTTTCAAACTCAGACAGGAAGAGAAAGCTCTCTGCTTCTAAAGCTCACAGAAAAGAATTCATGGAGAGACACTAATTAGGAAAAGTGGATATGCTGGTAGGTATCAGTATACTCCTAAAGCTCATGCAGTGAGAAAACGAAATATGAAGAGCACAGGATGGAACAATGGCTTGACTGAGTCCTTTGCAGTGTAAACAGTAGTAAGGGGAGACGGGAAGAGGCTTTGGGAGGGCTTGCAAGACTGCTGTCTAGGAAACTGGTATCAGCCATTCCCTTTCCACAAGAGAACTGCAGAGATATCTTTTTCCTTTCTCTTCCAGGGAATTGAGGGTTCCAGAGGGCTCCCTGGAGTTCGCGTAAGTCTTTTTTCCTTTCCATGTGCTTCAGAAGGGAATGCAATCCTGCTACTTCCTCAGTAATTTTTGAATAACAGAATGCCCAGTCTACATAGTCATTTTTTACTTAGGTGGGATGTCATCTGTATCATTTTGCAGGGTGACCCTGGAGATCGAGGCCCAGTGGGAGAGAAGGTAAGAGTTCTGATTTGGTTATACACTAGAAGAGATGATGAAAGAAAAGACATTGGCCAGAGCCATGAAAACCCACCAAATATTTTTATAAAGTTGCACTTACATAAATGCAAGATCTGATACCTGATGCAAAATTTGGGGGGAACCTTGGTTTTCTTTCTTTTTTAAAAAGCAACCTAGCCTTCATTACTGCAGATAAAGGTGGATTCTGTAAGAACTATTGAATAGCCTATATCCATGGTCTCATGAACAGTAATTTCATTAATTCCCATGCTTCCTACTTGCTGCCATGGTTGTTTTCTCATTCACTTTTAAATTTTTTGTCAGGGTGATCGAGGTCCTCCAGGCCTGGATGGTCGGAATGGCTTGGATGGAAAACCTGGACAAATAGGCCCTTCAGGCCAAAGAGTAAGTCTGATGCTTGGTGCCTTCAGGTACATCAAGACTACAGGTCCCAGATTTAGAAGCTGTTAAGCCACAGTGATGCTGCGTTACTCTTAGCAAAGTCGGAATGTTCCTCAGAATGTCACTTTATGGTGACAAAGCAAAATTTTGATATTCTATCTGGGCCAATGACCTCCAAAAACTGATGAACTACCTATCCTAGAAGAATTCAAAAAGAAATTTACAGAAGAAATGGATACTGTGCCAGAAACTTAGCAAAACTCTATCTTAGAATTTTGAAAAGCAAATTGTTGTGAAAGAACCTCCAATCATTCACTCTTAGCAAAGTCACTTGTTTGTGGGAAGCTGCTGCTTAAATCCGAAATAAGAGGCGTCCATTTTGGAGATTGTGTACTGATAGCAAAGTTCACAATAAAGGAGTCACAGTGAGGATCATCTTGTTAGTCCCAAATCATAAAAGTTAATTATCATTGGTGCTTATTGAAGCATATTAATTGATGTTTGTGTATGCAGGTTTTTATTTTCATGGCATTCTTTATTAGGCAGAACAATTCTAAAGATAGGATTTTTTTTAATGTATCAAAGCTTATATATCACTGTACAAAAGTAATTAAGATTTTATGGGATTATCACTGCAGCCATTTGTCACCTAGAAAAAGGGAACTAAAATAACCTATTTTAGGAGACTGCAACTGGACTCATATATCACACTAAACCATAATGTGGTATGCGTTAGTTTGGTTTGGTTTAATGAGTTGCACAAACCACCAAGTGCATTTAAACAAATCTGTTGGGGAACCACAGTCAAAGACAATGACATGGACATGGACATGGACATGAGGCACGGTCTAGTGCCTGACTTCTGACTGCATCCTTGCTTTATTTTCTTAGGGTGATCCAGGAAAGCAGGGTGACCCTGGTCGAGATGTAAGTATAGAAACTCGCTGACCTCTGACAAGCCTAAATAAGATGAGCTGTTTTTTTTTTCCTCTTGTTTTAATTGATTTCTGGGTGATCTGTGTGGAGTTTAGTTGTCAGTCTTTCTCATATCAAGGACTTTCACTTGGCACATTTTTCCGTTCTAGATAACCAATTTTGGCTACCAAATATATCTTTGAAGAAGATCTCTCTTCTACTCTGCATATACACAGCAGTCTGCTTTTTTTAAAACAGGGCTTGCCAGGTCAGCGTGGAGAGCAAGGTCCTCCTGGAGCAATTGGCCCACTGGGATCTCCAGGACTGCCTGTAAGTTAAGTGCTTAAAAGACTGATCTGCATCAACTGCCCATATGCTACAATATGGGGCTGAAAGTCCATATTGATACTTTCCCATAGGAGCTTTTGTTAAGAGGGTGGTCACCTTCTGTGTTAACACAGAACCAATGAACAGCTGCCCTCTGCTGTTGGGTACACTGCACAGATCTAGTGAATCCACACTCAGTTAATGGATCGTCCCACAATGTAGATAGTATAGCTCGGCCATAAAATGTAAAGAAAATTCTCTTGCACTTTCCTTACTATCTTGGCCTAAACAGAAACTTAAGATATTTTGTGTGTTAGTTCAGTTTTCCTTTTTTGCTTTTTAAATTAAAAAATACTTAGGTTGGCAACTAGAGCAAGATTGATTAATAGAGGGTGATCATGGGCTAAAGTGATTGGTAATCCAATTCTGTTCAGTGTTGGATTCATGTGGTGATCTTGGCAATTGAATTCTCCATCTGACAGATTTAGGCTTACAATTTAAAAGGATGCAACACAAAAGAAAAAATGCAGGGGAATGGGGGAGGAAAATAAGAAAACTCTGGCACCGATTATTAATGCACGATAGATTTTATAGTGACCATGGGTAATTAGCCAGACAGAAATTTATGGTTGTCTTGTTAAGACTGGTTAGAATGCAACAAATTCAAAGAGGAGGAGAGCCCAAAATGGCTGCACTGTCAACCAGGCTGGTAAAATTACCCTGTTTTCTATCCCACCCTTTGCTGCAGTCTCATAAAATAGCAGCTGGATTAGAGTTTGGGGAAAGGCAAAACTTGATGAAGCTGCCTTCTCAACAAGAATCCAAGTCAATTTCTCTTTGTGAAAATTTGAGTTTATTTTGCTAACCATTGGTTGCAAGAAAGTCATATATTCTGTAGGGATTCATCCATCCTCCGTGTTCCTTGCTCCCTATGCTAGTAACAGTTCTATGGATCTGTTGCAGTCAAGCTGGTGAAAGCTCCCTTATCTGGCTGATCTCCTACATTTCTTTTCCAGGGCAAGCCTGGTGAAGATGGCAAACCTGGGCTGAATGGGAAGAATGTGAGTATTGGGCCTGACCCCTCTGATCCCCTGCTAGAAGTGGGGCTTCAGGCCTGACCAGCAAGGGTCTGTATTGGGGAGGGAAGCGTAGGGAATAAAATGTGCTGAATTTTCTTTAGTTCTTCTAATAGTAAGGAATATCACAGCATGTGCTTCTAAACTAATCTGGAATACAAATGTGAACAAGATGTTTACTTTCCAGGGAGAAGATGGGATTCCAGGAGTAGATGGGAGAAAGGTAATTTCCCCTTATGTACTCCCAGCACTTTATCCAAACTTCCATCTGTTAAGCAGAGATTAGAAACAAATTCCTTAAGAAAGGTCCATGTATTCTTCCCCCTATTTCAGTAACAGTCTTGGGGTATATTTAAATTGAGAAAATGGCATCAGAGGCACCAACTATATTCCTTGTTTTTCTGAGAGCTACATGCCAATCCAAACAAGCCCTTCCCTGTGAAAATTGCTTTTAATTCCACCACCACCCAAAAAGAAGGTAGGAGTGTTCCTTATAGATGCCTGCCTCAATTTCATTCCCTATCTCGCCTCGTTTTCCTCCCAACACTGAGCTAGTGTTGAAATGAACACTATGTTCAGTCTCCCTTGGCCTTTTCTAAGAGGTTTTCTTAAATATATATTTTTATAAGTGATGGGTTCTGCTGGGCAGGCCAAAAATTTAGATTAAGTACATGTCTAGAGACATAGGAGTATGGCTCTTTTGAGAGCCAGGAACAAGCAAATCTAAGAGAAACCTGGTTCCGCTCTCAGTTATGGCTTGAGTTGAATAGTAGATCACTGTTGGTGATTTGTTCGCTTCATATGCTAAGTAGTCATTAGGTACTGTAATATTGTGTTTTGTTAGGTAATGAAACATTAGGGAATTGGCACAACACAGATCTAGTCCATTTTGGCCTTCAGATAGCAGAATCCAGAAAGCAGTCCATTTTGTTGATTTCCATGTCAGTAGAGGAGTGTGACAGAAAAGTCCTCTTGGCATTTTCTTTTCAGTTCCCCCAAGGTTAGGTGACTGCACTTGGATGTTGGTAAAATTCAAAGTGATGGATATTAGGATCCAAGAAAACTTCATTGTTTATCTATAAGAAAACCCAAAGTGCATACTACAGTTCTGTTGTGTTTTTTTTTAATGCATCCAGGGAGATAAAGGTGAAGCTGGAATACCTGGCAAAGAAGTAAGTACTTTTCCATGATAATGTCTGAGTTTATTTCATAAGGTTTGCTTTTTGCCTTTATTCTGTTTTTTTAAGTAAAGGCATCGTCAGGGTTGTCTGCCTGGAAAAGTTGGTAATCAGTTACAGAGAGCATTCAGAATCACAGTGATCCTGCCAGGTAGGAGAATAAATACACTTTCCCAGCAGTAAAATATATGGAGATTTGTGTGCACAGAAAATGCCATGCACGCAAAGAAACATGTTTTTGTGCTAGATTCTGATAGTCCAGAATAGCCCCATGTAATCTGTGGGCAAGGAGAGGAGTAGCTTCAACCCTCCAATTCTCACAACTTGCCCCTTCCCATATTCTATTCCTTCTCTGATACATGGGTGGAGTTTAAGGTAAAAATGTTCTAGTCAACCTGCCTGGTCTTTAAGCTGTTCTACCTTTATGCAGACATTTTAGAAAGAGCATTAGATTTAAGGTATAGGGTTTGTGAGGTCTTAGGTGTATAGGTGACCAAGAAAGCAGAGTAAGGATAATATTTAGAAATAAGTGGGAGGTTGCTTGCAAGTTATTAGAGCCCCCATGTTGTCTGCATAGAAGAGTCTACAACAAAGTCCTTGATATCTCTTGTTAAAAGGCCTCTCAAAAAACAAGATTGGAAAAGACCCTTGGGTCAGAATGTGCAAAGCTGTTGCCAGTTAAAAAAGAACACAGGATAGCTCCCTACACATGATATCTAACTGTATTTGTCTTTTGTTGACAGGGTCCTGAAGGTGTTAAAGGAGAGAGAGGAACCAATGGGCCTCCAGGGCCCCCAGGACCACCTGGTGTTCCCGGTGTGCCTGGACAAATTGGTCCACCAGGCCAGGTAGTTTCCTCCTCCCACGTAATCTAAAATTGGATATGATAAATTACAATAGTATATGGAAATTCAGTCTCAGCAGAAACTAGCATGAAGATAGATTAAAGGCTGAAATTCATTATGGGGAGCCTGTGTGCATGTATATGCCAAAAGAAAAGAAAAATACAGGACTGAAATTGAAAAGTCAATGAGAAAAGCTAAAACCACAGAAAGAAAAAAAGCAAACTTGGGAGCACGATAATTTATATGTACACACACACATATACAAGTAAAGAGAAACACAAACATTTTAAACATGCATTTTAATATTTATGTCCAGAATCATATTTATATAGCCAAAGACAATGTATTAGAAAAAAACATTGCTGATATAACCAGTAATTGGTAAATTGAGTACATTTATCTTTCTTGTAGGGCTTTTCAAAGCTCTTTATTGCTTCGCTGGTTTTTCAAGCGAAGCAATTTCCTACACTTTCAACATCACTTATCCACCAAAAGAAGTTACCTTTCAGTTGTTCTGCAATAGTAAAACTAGCACATAACAACAGGAATTGAATCAAATGTTTATGTTGCATCAATATTTATTCATTTTTTAGGAAAAAGTGGCAATAAACCAACAAGCAGGATTTATGATCAAAGATCATTTGGTGATTCCCCCATTTTTTTCAAAAACTTTCAGTCAGACAGACTGATTAATTGGGCATTGTCAGCAAAGATGGTAATAAGTACAGTACAATGTATTTTACAGCCAGCAATATAATTTAGAAAGTTTGCAGTTAATATGGTGCAGTTTAAATAGTACGTAATCCCATTTCTAGAGTCTCTTCGTGATCAGTTCCTGTTGGCTTGGTTTAAAAATAATTCTGTGCCACAAAGAATTCCCATGAGATTTGTCAAGTCAAAATCTCACATCATCCTTCCAAGAGAACCATTTGGGCTTAATAAAATAATTTTAGTGGGGATTGATAGTTTGCATAGGATTAAACTGGAAGAATTTAAAAATCAGTTTGAAACAGTTCTTGGTGAAGTTTGTTTGGCTGTGTAAACAGAATTTTTCTGAAATGTTCATAGAGAACCTTATTCTAGGAATCCTGGCACTGGTCACATGATTAGTTACTAATCTGAATTTTCTATCCTTGCTTAGTGGCTCTTTTTGGAACACGTTGGTTGGACTCAATAAGATAAATGTCTCTTTGTAGTTCTGTAATGCTACATTTTGCTATTTTCAGAGTGTGCCAGGCCTCCCTGGGGTATCTGGTCAAAAGGTAAGCAAAGATCTACCACACATTGCATCACATTTGTTCCAGAAAGAAGTCAGATGACATTGCAGTTCTCACTTCTGTCTCCATGGCAGCTGAGCTCCCCTTATGACTTTGTCAGATTTTTTGAGAGTTGTAGTTTCAGGCCCACACGTGAACGGTATTGTTATTATTTTGGGAACAGCACAAAATATGTGTTGTTGAATGAAAGAAGCAATGTGTACGTGGGTCCTTCTATGGCTTCTTTCATCCCAGGGCTCAGTGAGTAGAAATAAAGGGCCTGTGAAGGAGGCATGTTATAGATTGGTTATCTCAGCCTCCCACCTATAGAAATGAATTATGTTATCCTGTCTGTCACAATCTATGCGATATCAGAATCTGGGACACAAATGACTTTGCATCTAGATCAGGGATTCAAAGTACCCTTCCTCTACAGCAGGACATTTCATTTCATTTTTAATGAAATTCAAAAAACAAAACAAAACATACAAAACACTACATCACCAAGAGAGGAAAAAGATAAATAGTGATTATATAGTGAAGAAAGAAAACCTAGATATATTATAGTGATTAAATAAATGTGAAAATATTAATAGAAAAAAGTTCCATATAATAACTAAAGATAACAATATAAAGTTCATTCAGTCATTAAGATTATCATTAAATCTAGACCATATAGCAACATATTGCATTAGTTTATCATTTTAGAATACTAAGATTTTGCAAAAATAGTTAATAAACTCATACCCTGGATCCATTCCTTAAAATTAGGAGAGTAAGTTTCTTTCCAGTTGTATAAATTATCCTTTTTGCCATGCCCCAGGCTCTTTGGGAGATAATAAATTCCATGTTTTAAAAATATAGGTGGTCATCATATTGAGATCCTTTAATATAATATTTCTTCCCAAAATTGCATTGATATATATATAATAATTTGAAACCAAACAAGATTGTAATTGGATGAGACTAATTTAAAAAATTTAATGCCCAGCCCTTTTAAAAAATTGAGTTGTAGAAGAAAATAAAATAATATTTTTGATGAATTAATTTCATTTTTAAATCAAAAGTATATTTCACATTTCTTAACACATGGACCCATTGATTCTCCAAAACTGGATATTCCAATTCTTCATTCAGCAATTCAGATATACTGTATAACAAATACTAACTTTCATTTTATTTTTTATTTCCTTATATAACTTAATTGTTAGTGTCTGTTCAAATGCTGCATCTCTTAAGGAACTTAAAATTACATGTACCTCAGAGACGTCTAGAGCATCTGGTCCATAGTGTTTAATTAATACATTTCAATTATATATTGCTACACAAATGTTATAGGTAAGTCACATTCAACATGCAGTGTCTCAGCATCTTTAAAACAACCATTAGAAATCATCTGATTAAAGTGTTTGGCCCAAGCATTCCAAAAAATCACTTTTCTTGCTGTTTTCAAATCAATTTCTCATGGGATTCAGGATGAAAATGTAACTCTTACCTATTGATAATCAAAGGTGCCTGGCAGCTTTCAAGGCTGGAAAAGAAAATTCCTTTTTAGTATACCTGGATCCTAAAACCTGCCAAGTTTTCAAAAGTCTTATACACATTGTCCAAATGGGGTCTAAAGACTAGAAGAAGAATAAAAAGTCTCATTTGGGGGAAAAAAAAGTTAAAGGCCCAATGATAGTTGAAAATCTGGTAAGTTAAAGCCACTATGATTATGAGATAACGTCAGCTTTGCCAAAGATATTCTAGGGGTTTTAGCCTGCCATAAAAAAATTCTTATTAAGTTACCTATCTGTGTAAAATATCTAATAGGAGTTAACATTGGAATCTCTCTTAAAATATACATTTGTCTTGATGTAATGTTCACTTTGATAACATTAATCTTGCCCTAAAGACTTAATGGGAGTTATAACCATTGAATTATATCTGCTAAAATTGCATTTATAATTTAGACATATTTAATTCAACATACTGTGATATATTTTGAGAAAGAGGTAAACCCAAGTATTATTTTATAGTCTGTACAAATTGTAAATCCTAATCTCTTATTAACTGGAACATGTCTAGTCTGCTAGTATGTTATAACCAGAGTGTAAACCATATTGCAGTATGACTTCAACAAGCTTTGGTATTAGCATTGCATAATTATCAAGGATAGCCTTAATATCATCATCATAAAATAATAATTTATATTCAATGTGATATGCCACCAACTTTTAATAACTTCAGATTGTATAATGGAAGATGCCAATGGCTCAAGAGCCAAATTAAAGATTAAACAAGACAGGAGCATCCTTCTCAGGCACCATGATATACTGTAACTTTATAAGTTGAGAGACCCAAAACCATTTGTAATAACTCTAGCCACTGAATGAAGATACAGAATTGTAATCCAATGAACAAATGATGGTTGTAACCCATATCTTCATAGAATGCACTTCATAAATTCAGTCCGGGCCATATCAAAGATTTGTTTAGCATTCAACAAAATTAAAACAACTGGCTTCAATTTATCTGTGGCAATATCTACAATATAAATTACCAGACAGATGTTGTCGGGTGCTTATTTATTTATTTAATTCCATTTATAGAACTGCCCATCTCAGTTTAATGACTCTGGGCAGCAAACAACAGTTAAAAAGAAATAATAATATCAACCTAAATACAAATTAGCAGCCAGGTCAAAAAACCATATAACCATCAACACAACCATTCCACAGGCTCTACCACATTTTCCAACCCCGATACTTATCTATTTTTTATAAATCCAGATTCAGATGTCTGAATTATAGATAGTATTACCATATATACTTGCAGATAAGATGAGAATTTTAGATCCCAAAATACACCCAAAGAATTGGGTTTGACTTACCTGTGAGTATACATAATAATACTTTTTTAATGTACTCATATATATTCCTGGATAAGCCAAACCAAAATACTATGAAAAATGTTCTACCATGTATAAGCTAATTGTGAAAACTTAAAATGGAATCTATTCTGGAAAACAACATTTATTGATACAAAATATGAAAACAAATGAAGTCCTTCAGAATATATAGGTATTCCCCAGTTTAAGAACAAGTTCCATTCCCAAGATCTGTCCTTAAGTTGAATTTGTATATAAGGAGGAACAGAATTATTGCATAATATGTATAAGTAGTATTGTGTAACTTGAACCATTGTGTATTTAACTCGAATTTTACAGTAGGCTCTGTTCTTAATTATGGGTCATCTGTAAACCAGGCATTTTTAACCTGGGGACTACCTATATTGAAAAAAAATTCAAGGGTCGATTTATCTACAGGTGGCACATTTTTCATGGTGTTTTGGTTAAAAATTTGAGGGTTGGCTTATCCATGGATGGGCTTATCCATGGGTATATATAATACTTTCTGTAGCCTCCTAGAAAAAGTTAATATTTTAGCATCCACACTAAGTAAATATATTGAGCTCTAGCTTGCACATCTTGTGAGGTCTTCCTCAGGCTTTAATACCATCTAGAGCAGAACTGAATTTCTTTAGAGTTCTCTGCATGCTGACTTCTCATCCCCATTCCGTTTTAGGGAGACAGAGGAGAACCTGGATCCAAAGGAGAACAGGTGGGCATCTCTCAGTTCCCTATACATATAATATTTCAAAATCAAATCTTCCTAGAGCTTTGAAACCCATTATGGAGGCTAATTCATTATGCAGAATTTGGTCTAATAGGAGTCCTATTTTATTGAATATGAATATGGCTTCCATTGAGACCATCTCCCCTTTCTTTTAGTTATTTAATAATGAGATCTGCCAGGAAATTTGGTAGAATCTAAAGCATAGTGGAATCGGGTAATATTGTGTGGCACAACGATTAGCAGATCAATGGTCGCTGGTATGGATCATCCCCAGTTTATGCTAGCGCACCATATATATGGAAAGATCCTTGGCATATCATGCAACACAGCAATCCATATATTAGTAATTCATACAGTAGACCAGAGACCTCTGCATTTGTGCATCCCAGTGGCTGGTTTCTGATCTGTTTTATCACTCTGATGAAAAAGACTCTGGAAGTCAATGGATTCTGGAGTCTAATCCAGAGATTAATTTGGAAATTGTTATATAAGTCATAGCATACTGAAACTTCCCATAAGAAAGTAGTCAAATGATTTACTTCACCTCTGTCATCAAGAGAGAGGAGTGACAGAATACTGTAAGTGATTTCCTGAAACACTGTGGATGGCGCCCTTGCCTCTTGGAGTCTAATCTCTGTTTCTAATCCTGAGAAACATCTGCCTTTCTACTGTCCTTTCCTCCTGTTTGCCAAGGGGCTGCTTCTGAAGTATATATTGTGTGGCATAACCAAGATGTCATTTGGACTACTGTCACTACACACTATTATTCTTTTTTTTCCCTTCAGGGGAGAAATGGTGAACCTGGGCCACGAGGGGAACCTGGGATAGCATCAGTGAGTGAGCAAGAGTATTACTTCATCATTTCATCTTGAAAGCCTAGGAGGGGGAAATCATACATGCAAAAGTTTACTGTCAGGTTAACTTGAATCTAGACTGAGAAGAGTGGACAATTTTATCCTGAGAATATGGCTTGAATCATGGATGAGAATAATTGCTACTGCTGAGTGTATCTATTCTTTGTGTCATCTGGATAGGATTGCATTGGAATAAAGAGTGATTGATGTCTGGATTTTTCTGCTTGAAAAAAAGGGAATCTGACAATGTTCAACGTCTGATAGTGGCTCCTATTGCTATATTAAAGTGCAGGATTAGGACCAAGGGAGACCCAAGTTCATGTCCACATTCAGCTCTGAAAACCTTTTGGGTCACTTTGAGATAATAGTTATGTCTCAGCTAAACTTCCCTCAGAGCAGAGGATTGTTCTTGTAGGAATAATATTAGAGGAGGAAGTCATGTGTACCCTGCCATGAACTCCTAGAGGAAAGGCAAGATATAATCATAACAAAATGGATTTATATGTTTCTTCAGTTGGCCATTTTGGAAAGAGGCCCACATATGTAAAAGGGCATTTATAAACCAAGGAAATTATTTAGTAACAAATTGGTGGAATAACAGAACTATCAGAGCACATCAATCTGGAGTTTTCTTTCTCAAGAAGCAGTTCACACACACACACATGGGGATGACATTAAAGTGGTCCAATACATTTGGACTTAGTACAAGGAAGGACCCTATCCTCCATAAGGCAGCTCATCTTACTCCACTCACTAACTTTGATGTTTATTTCCAATGGCCTATTTTCATTTTTTGCTCATGGTTTCCCATCTGTGTTTGTCTAGAATATTGAACGTGCCCTGGAAGCATACGGTATTAAGGTAGGAATTCAGTCACATCCTCCATCTTATCTCTGTATTGCACATATCACTGTACATCTCTCAATGCTCCTGGCTGGCTCTGTAAGTGAACATCTAGAAGGATAGAAGTGTTTCCAGCCTCAGTTCAAATAAAAGTATCAAGTTTGAAACCCCATGATTTAAGAACTATCTTCTCTGATACTATCTGAGCCATTAGATGGACCTTGGAGGATCTGCTTGATGTCTCATTGAAGTTAGATATAAGGATGGTGGACCCAAGAAGGCAAACCTTTTAGCACTGGCAACTACATTGTGGAATATTCTGCCTCAGGAAATAGTTTAAGCTATTTATCTTCTGGTGCTTATGTGGCCACTTGAACAAATTGTTTTCAAATTTTGATAGCCAAAGTAGCATAACTTATATACACTTTATAGGAAAGCAAGGGGGAGGAAGTCTTGTTTCTGCCTGAGCCAAATTCCCTCAGAGCCATATAACTGGTGAAGTCAAAGTAGGTTGGGGGCCCCATTCTCTTTCTGACACCCTTTCTTCCCCTATTCTGTCACGGTCTTCTGTCTCTCTTAGGCAGAAGGTTGCATGGGAGGGAGGGACTGACTGCCCTATCAGACATTTAAGAATCTTGAAATGAAGCCAGGGCCATACACACAAACAGGCTGAGGGTTGCTTGCACCCTTAAGATCACAGGTTGCCCATCCTGCAATAAAGGCTGGCTAAATTATTTTTTCACCTTTAAGGAAGTTCAAGGATTATTAGTTTATAAATGTTTGCATTTTAGATTGTGTTCTTCACCATGCTTCAGTGATTCTTCTTTCCTTCCTCACAGATTTCCTTACTCCGAGAGATCACCGGTGCCTATGACGGCAGCTCGGATCAGTTACTGCCTGTTCCTGACCGCCGAAGAGGACTGAAGGGTGACAGAGGAGATCCAGGAGACAGGGGGCCACCAGGGAAGGAGGTAAGGCTGAGTTCTTCATACGCAAGTATTAGGTGTATATTTTGTTGTTCTTTTCAGTCTAGCTGGGGAAAGTTCTTCACACATAAAATATTCAAACAAATCTCTAAACACAGTATACATAATTCTTCCTGAATGTTGTGCCCTAAACCCAAATATCATTGTGACAAGGATGTAGAAAAATGGATTCAATATTGATTAATACTTATGCTTATATGTGAGTGTTCTTATATTATTTTTTAGAAAAATTTCACTAAAAATGGGGCAGAGGTCCCAGGCAACTGATGTTTAAATTCTGTGATATTCTGTGTCAGTTTTGAACTGAGGCTCTTGGATGTGAATCACACATCCAATTTGTTAACCTTGAAACAACTTTATAGAATCAAATATGAAATAGAAGGTTGTAGTACAGCAGATGTGGGTGACTTCTGTGGAGTTGTGGGTTGTAACTCAGCTTTGCAATTTTATGGAAGGCAGCAAAGCTGTCTCAAGACATAGTGACCTCACCAGATAGGTGTGGCTGAAAGTTTGCATCGTTTGGGTAGGTGTTAAGAGCAGGAATAGGAATATCAAGCTTCTGTCAATCCATTGTATCTCAGCAGCCAGATTCTCATAGATGCTGCCTCAACCCCTTTATTGCAAGGAAAATGATGGAAATGTTACATAACAACTAAATACTTTCCCTTTTATCTCTGAGTTTGCTAGGGTGGGGCTTTTTTCATTCTCTTGATAATCACCCTTTGATGAACAAAAGATACAGCGAATGTTTACCAGATAAGGAAACAATCTGCAACTTTTCCAAAAATTTCCACCTCCTTCTCAGGATCAAAGGTGGCCAGTACAAGAAGTGAGGAGCTTCTTGGAAATGAATGCTACTAACCCCTTTCTTTAAATGCCTCCATAAATGAAAACAGCCCCAAATCTGCTCCACCTTTTCTTTCTTGGGCTTTTAAGGGTGGCAGTGGGAGCCTTCTGGGAGGCAAACTGCTACTCTTTTCACAATTAGAACTGCTCAGAATTTTAGGAACAGCCCAGAGTTATGCCCTTGAAATATGGCCATTTTGCTGGTGACAAGGGGGCATGCTTTTTGCCTTCCTGTAGCAGAGCTATAAAAACTATCAACCTTTGCATGCTTTAGCAATGGACAGAGTTATTCTATGAAGATGAGAGACATATTTATTTATGTATTTGTTTATTTGTTTGTTTCAACAATTTACATGGCCACCCATCTCACAAAGTGACTCTGGCTGGTGTACAAGATATGCCACATCATAATGTCTGAGGTCACAAAACAACAATCCCAACTTTTAAGAAGACCACATTAAGCAGCAGAGCTCACATAATCATCCAGCCCAAATGTCTAGGGGAATTACTAGCTCTCTAATGCCTTACAAAAGGCGAACAGGGTTGGGGTCATCTGGATCTCTGAAGGAATGCTATTTCATACATTGCCACAGAGAAGTCTTGACTACAGACCCAACAATGTAACATTGTTTAATGGAAGGAACCTGGAGCATGTCCTCCCATCCAGATTTGGTGGAGCAAGCAGAGATGATGGGAGACAGGTGGTGCCTCAAATAGCCTGACTCTATGTCATGATGGCTTTATAGGTAACAACATGCATATTGAATCACACCTGGAAACCACTGGGTGTCATATTTGCTCAGTTAAATAAGGAGAAGCATTAGAGAGAGGCACCTCTAGTACACCACTCAGGATACCATTTATAGAGAAAGTTGATTTGACTTGGTATGTTCTGTACTGAAGTGAGGGCTAGATTGGCCAAGGTCAGAAGCAAAGCACCTGAGACTAGACTGATTTGCTATGTTAGCAGTGCACAGATGTCAACTGCTCTCCCCATTCAAAATGAATGGCCTTCACTCATTCTCACCCATAGGTGAGGGAAAGAGATATAAGATTTGAAGCAAATATATATGTAGTTTGAGTCTTACAGTTGGCAGCTGCTGGTTTCTTGACATGAAGAACATTTCCAGTATCTGTAATAAAGCAGTGTTATCAAAAGCTGTGTCCTTGAATCTCTGCCTGCAAGCCTTCTATTCCAGAGTCAGTCTAAGTGAAGCCTGACCATTTCTTGTAGGGTCCCATGGGCTTCCCTGGGGAAAGAGGAGCAAAAGGAGATAAAGGAAATGAAGGACCACAAGGACCACCAGGACGTGCCATCGGAGAGCAGGGGCCAGGAGGTCCACCTGGGCAGCCAGGGGAGCCTGGGAAACCTGGAATTCCAGGGCTGCCAGGCCGGGCAGGAGAACTTGGAGAAGCAGGGAAGCCTGGAGAGAAAGTAAGCAGAAGTATGAGCCCTGACGGAAAAGCTTAAGAAGTCATCAGGAGCAATAAAATAGTCTTGACTTGCTCTTCATGCGAATGTGTGTTTTGATTTTATAAGCTTTTGTGATCATGCTTTAGAGTAAGAGGGAATCTCTTAAATAGGATTGTCTATTATAAACATATCTGAATTCCTATTTATTTATTACAGACCCTGCATTTATTTATGTATGTATGTATGTATGTATGTATGTATGTCACTGTAAAGTTCTGCAACAAAACTAATATAAAACGGTATATATAACAGTACAAAATATAAAGTACCCATAATGGTTCCTTACCACAATGGGGAAAAAGTCATATGATAACCACAAGTTCTCTGGAAAGCTTCATAGATTTCTAAGCTTAAGCTGAGATGAGAGAATGTTAGAAATGATGGAACTATATTGATTATTTATCTCTTTTTAAAGTATTATTTTCATATTTCAGGGTGACAGGGGTGAGAAAGGTGCAAAAGGAGAACAGGTGAGTAGGGTGAAAGATTCCTTCTGGAGTAGGGTTAAAGCTGGTGACTTTATGGACCCATGTAATTGTTCTGGCAAACAATTAGTTTGCCATTATCTTTTCCCATAATATTTTTAGATTCCCCCGTAGGAGGAGATTCTGGCAAATTGGGGTGCCAAGGATGCTTGGGTGCTCTGTACTTCACTAGATCTGGGGGTTGCATTGACAGGACCATCCTCCACCTGTATGGACAACCCACCCACCCCGTCAGCAGATTAGAATGCCAGGCTGCGTAACAGATCACCCTGGCCTCAGTAGAAAGCCCCTGCCCTATGCAGAAGTGGCAACTTGAAAGTAAGCTATAAGTCCTTCTAGGACCTGTCACAGTTAGCAGCCTTATTACCAAGGACAGCTGGAATGAAGGCTCTACAACTGCATAAGCATAGCCAGGAGAGTACTTAAATCAACCCACCACAGCCCCCCATTGCTGGAAGCAGCTTTGGCATCTGACTCCTACTCTGTGCTCCTGACTTAGACTGACCGCAGCTTGCTCCGGCTGCAGTTCAGTGTTCATTATAGAGAATAACATTTTCTGTGCTTCGCTGACCTGAGCCATGCTTCATGCCTCTCCTCTCAGCTTCAGAAGAACTCTGTGTGTAGATGCACACACCATGCTCTCCTGTCCATTACTGTCCATGCTGGCAACTGCATGTGCAAGTGCATACACAACGTTTGCCTGGCTCTTTGTGCTGGCAACTTGGTACATACCTGCCCTCACCCACTCTTGCACCTTCGTCATTGGGTGTTTCAGCATCTCTCATGTTACCCACAGCTAGACCACAAAATAGTATTCTCTAGTGGTCTCCTCAGATAGGCAAATTTAAACTTTCTTGAAATGGAACAATGTAGAGAACTCTGGAACATTCTATTCCTGCTCTAGACCATGTAGATTCCAGTGTTCCAGACATGATGTCCTGGTGGAGTCACACCACTTATAGTTCATGTGAGACCAACAAATTCTTGAAATTGAGTGTACAATCAATGGAAAGAGGAATTGCATATGCATTTGTAGGCCTGCTATATGTCTGCTCTGCATTATCCCCATTTACTTTTCACACAAATTCCCACACAGGTGTTTAACGTCATTATTTTGGGAAGTTTGTGCAGGATTTCAAACAATCACAGTCCTCACCATGGGTACATGTGTATGCCCCCCCCACATACATACATATGTATATGTCCGAACCATAAACAGACATCTAGAGCCCTGCTCAAAGCAAACTTACTTTGAGGAAATTGAAAATGTGAAGCCCCACCCACCATTGTTTTTCTACTCTAAAATCCATTGCCTAGAAATCACTTGCCTTGGGTTTCTTTTCCTTTTTTGTTAAAGGTGTCTAGTTTCTGTTACAGGTTTTTTGTAAGTAAACTGTAGTTAGTCTGGAATAGAATTCACGATCTCTGATCTTCTCTCTTTAAAGTCAGCATAGAAGGTTTGTAGCTGTAACCCTTAGAGAGGCAAATGAGATAAGATGTCTTTTGTGCATTTTTTGATCTTTATTTCTTGTCCACAGGGTAGAGATGGCTCAACAGGTCCTCCAGGCCCACCAGGACCCAAGGTGAGTAGTCTGTTGGATCTAAGACGTCCTTTTCACAGACACCCTGGCTGCCGAATTACAGAAGGTTAGGGGGTTGGACTACATGACCTCCTAGATATTTTCCAAACCTTATATTTTATGATTCTATGGAAGGAGACTGTTGGAGATTGATTTGAGTTATATCTGAGTGCCTTGAACAGACCAAGGAGCCATGGGACATTTGACCTTTTTTATTTCTTTCCCCTTGAAAGAATAGATGGGTTGAGCTCAGCTTGAAGGATATTTTACTTTACCCTAATATGCATTTTCCTAAACTGATAAAATTTATACAGAAATTGCTGTCTTGCAAGCCATTCAGTTGTCAACATGAAACAGAGAAAAGAGGGGCTGAATGTGATGCCTCTGTATTTCATGTCATATTGAACACTGCCAGTCCAAGCATCTTATGGCTAAGTCTAGGGTTTCCACCCATTTTAGTTAATGAGGGAACTTGTGGAACAGTCAGTCTACTTCCAAACCCATTCCTTTTCCTAAACTTCATATGATGCTAGTATGAGCAAGTTTTATTATCTCCATGGAATTGATCTGAAATGTGGGTTGTTGTCTAGGAAAACTGATAGTTTCATCAAACACGTGGATCTTCCAATTTGTTTATTGTTTAAATATGAACAGTTACTGCTTCAGTTACATGTATTGTGAAACCCCTTTGTATATGATAATCATGTACTTGTGCTGAGGGAAACTTCATTAAATCTAACAGGTTCTGTAGCTCTTTTGGGAATGTGACTTTTGTATTGGGGCCACAGACAGGAATCAATAGAAGTGTGTATGTATAAGGGAGGGGGGAGAGAGAGAGAGAGAGGCTGTCAGACAGACTGATGACTAGACTGACATATTTATGTGCTTTCAGGTAGATACAGCAATCGAAGGGAGTCTCTCTGGATTTCCTGGAGAACGTGGACCTATAGGACCGAAGGGAAGCAAGGTTAGTGAACGCCCCCTTGTTATTTTTTCAATTGAATTCTCTTCCTCTATAGGTATATATATATATATAT